ATCCCTTATCCATCCATCTAGAGGCTGACTCTGTAAACTGCTTAGAGAGGGCTGTAAAGCACTATAAAGTGGTATATGTCTAAGTGCTGTTGCTATTATACTGGAAAAGCATGAAGTCTCTCACATGATCAACAATAGACGTTCCTGGAATCTTAAATTCAACCAGAACAAGTGACAAATTACAACATTTGCTTATTCTATATTCCAAGTACCCAGGGTTAAAGTCAATACAAAAAAATGTTACATTTATTCCTACTAAAAGTAAAAAAAAAAAACAATGTGAAAAGTAGATTTCCTGATTAGAATTATTTGGAATAATGGAAATAATATAGACAAAGTTTGATGTATGTTTACTTCTATCTCTAAACAATGGATGTTTGTTTTTATATTATTTTTTAATATCAATATATGAGCTTGTTTAGTGGTTTCATTTTAGATTAACTTACCTGTTGCCCAGCTGGTCCGATTGGACCCTGTTCTCCTGGAACACCTCGTTCTCCCTATAGATGAGGCAGAAAAAGAATAATTTCAGTTTTATGTGATTTCTTTTTTCACTGTGGTGAATCTGAGCAGAGATGGGGCCGCTGGGGGTTCGCAGGGGTTCGGGAGAGCTAAGATTCTGTGCAATTCGGAGCACCCCCAAATCCCACTCCTGGCTGGTCCCGCCCACCCCTCCCCCTCCCAGGAATCCCAACGCAGCTCATTTTGGATGCAGGTAAGTGCAGGGCATGTGTGAAAGTTCAGGGAGGGCAAAAAATGGGCCTCCCAGAAGTTTGGGAAGGCCGGAAATGGTTTTTGCCCTCCCAGAAGCTCGACAAAAGCCTTCAGAGCCCGGGGAGGGCAAAAACAGCCCCCCCGCTCGCTGTGGTACAGGAGGCCGATTATGCCACACCTACCATGGCCACGCCCACCCAGCAACCGGGCCGAGAACCCTTTGCTAAAATTTGTGAAGCCCACTCCTGAATCTGAGCATCTTGATCTAAGAAAGAGATGGTCTTTCAGCATCAGAAAAGGTTTATTATTAAGAGCCAAATAAGGGTATTTGATCCTGGATAGACCAGATATTAATGATTGAGGTGATATGTGGCAGATAAGAAACTGTTGTAGATTTTCTACAAGTAAATTGCAATCACGGATAGTTAACAGAGGGTCTTGAATTTTAGCTTTGCTGTTCTTTAACCTGTTAACATTTTTTTTTTCATATATTCAATGTATGCCAGGTCAATTGGGTTGCCAATAAATGTGAAAGTTTATAAATTTTGGACCTGCTTTGCAAAAGGGGAAGCTATTATTGTTGCAATAGATTTGTCAATATTCAGTTAGGGAGAATAATATTTTTTATCCTTTTTAATTCACATTTTTAAATGTGATTGTCTAATTTTGTTTTGTTCTTTGCTAATTCTTTTTTTCTTTTGGATCTTGTATCTTAATATTTTGAATGAAATAAAAATGTATAAAAGCATTAGAATAGGTTTGTTTGTTTTTTACCTTCTCCTACACATAGCGATTTTGAAACCTAGACACGATGAATATCTGAGGGACTAGCCCCTCCTCAGTGATATCAGCTTGTCCCATTAGATCTGGCAGATCCATATTTAGTGACTCCAGAACTTTCTGTCATGGTGCATTCCTTAAGGAACATTTTTTTCCCCAAAAATTAGATTGGTTCCATCCCTTCTGATATTTTCGAAATCCCTCAAGACCTGGTTACATGATCAGGCCAGGAGTTCACAGGCAACGGGAGATAGGCTCAAACAATTCCATTGCCCAAGATTTATTCTCATCCACCCTTTGACTAGGGTTACTATATTTGTTTTGATAATGTTTATTTTCATCAGGATTTTATGTTTTTATATTGATTATTCAATTCTTATAACATCACCCGGAGTCACATTTTTGTGAGATGGGCAGTTATATAAATAAATAAAATTCCAGTTTGTAAGACCAACATGGCCTGAGTAATAGCAATTCACTTTGTTTATGTTCCTAAAGTTATCTATCTTAGTTGATTAATATAGATGAATATTTTTTTTCAAAAACAGTATTTAGAAAGTATAGCTATGATACATCTATTTACCTATGCACGGCAGGCTGACTCAGCCTGGGTAAAATGAGGACTCAAATTGTTGGGAGCAATATGTTGACTCTGTAAACCACTTAGAGGGGGCTGGAAAGCACTGTCAAACAGCATGTAAGTCTAAGTGTTATTGCTATAGATGTATTTTCCATTATATACAATACATAATGCATAAGTAGATACTGTACATAGATAGTTAGATCAGATCTATTATCTGTTTATCTTCTACCAACCATCTCCATAATTTATTTATTTTTTAAATCACCATGCTACCTATATTTTAACTTTCTACTCATTTGAAATGGTTTATCTAAAAAGAAAGAGTATATACAATAATCTGCTTACGGGTTCACCTCTTTCTCCCTGATCACCTTTTTCACCTTTTGGCCCTTGTTCTCCCTTGAGTTAAAAAAAGAAAAGAAAAGAATTGTATACTGGTTTAGATAAAGAGTATAAAACAGGTAAACACGACAATCTTCATGACAGCAGAATGATACGCCTCCTAACTGTGGAGAGATAGACATTCATTAGCAAGTCCATTGCAGCCGCTGAATTGATTCTTCTGTTTGGAAGGTGACACTCATATTAATTAAATGGCCACAGGCAACTTTGCAGGGATATGGTCTGATTCCATATTTTGAGAGAGTGGTTAAAAATAAAGCCTCCCTCGAGTCAAGCTTGACTTGTAGTGGCTTCATGGACTACGATGGAATGTGCAAATGAAGGAGGAGAAGAGGGGAAGGAATGTCAGCTGTAGGACTGCGATTTCCCATGGTGGAGACAGCACATTCAGGAGATGTCCAAGACAAGAGACTGCACAGTCCTAAATTGGATAGCGTGGGGTGGAAAAGGTTCAGGAGAGTCACATTAGAAACTTCTAGGATATATTTGTAAACTTAGAAGGTTATAGCTTTAGTCTGGCATTATTCTGTCTATTAGCTGTAAATAAAGAACTGGACTTGAGTAGGTCTTACTGTCAGGGTTACGACGATTGCCTTAATTAAATCATGAGCCTCGAACCAAGTTTCAAAAAAATTCAAAAGATTTATTAGGAGCAACACGTTCGGCACTAACCCATATAAAGCCAACTCTGAGACACATAATTTACTATCACCTATGACCCTGTTTCCCCCCAAACCTCCTGGGCATGTCATATATTAGATTCTCCAACAAAGGTTGATGGGCTGGGTGTCATCAATGGCACTCTCCAATGAAAGATTTTCCTCGGCAGAAGATCCAGTAGCCTACGCTACAATCTCCACAAGAAAAGCATGGAATGTGCTTCTGGCCTTCATCTGCCTCACTGCTCCATCAGGCCTTTCCCGCCCTCCCCTCCTTCTAATGTCAACTGGGAAACAGGCATAAGAATGATTTACGAGTTGACACTTACTGTATCATCTCTGGGACGTGGGCCTAACATGGACAACTTCCTGTAGTTATCTTAGCAACACTGTAAAAGTGGCTTAAAACTGTCATTTTTCTGGGTACAGTTGACAAAGTCCTATTTGTCCAAAAATTAAGCATCATTAAGTTCTGGACAACTTCCATCTCTAACTCTCTAATCTCCCAAAAGTCCATGAATATTGTGCAATTTTTTTTTGTGGAAAAATACTACCAAACACTGTTCAGAGTTTTTGCAGCATTAATTCAGAGCCAGAAAAATAAACACAGAGGGCTGATGCTTCATTTAACATCTTTGTAAACATAATAAGTAAAATTTACAAACCAGTTGTACATTTCTCCAACATAGAGCAAACTCAGACAGAAATAAACATGTTGCAAGTTCAGAGCAGAGCTCCAGTCTTCAGCAAGCAAGCAAGTTATCATTTCAATAGACAGACTCAGAACTCAACATAGCTGCAGAGTTGCACAGCTTAATATAGAGCCACGCCTAGGCTACTTCTAGTTTCAGTTTCCAAACAGTTCTCATTGGCTGACCTTGCTATGCCTATACATCGGCTGACCTTGTTACGATGCTCTATTCCAGTTCATGAATATACTCTGACAAAAACAAATTCTATAGTGGGAAAAATTCCTGCGGCAGAAATCTACTCCTCAGAAAGAGGGCGAATGAACTTACTTCATTAAAGGGTTTTGCTAAATCTAAATATGTAAGTAAAGTACAAGTGGTCCTCAACTTACAACAGTTCATTTGATGACCATTCAAAGTTATGACACTAAAAAAGTGACTTATGACCTTTTTTCACACTTATGACTGTTGCAGCATCCCCATGGTCACGTGATTTAAATTTGGATGGTTGACAACTGACTCACATTTACGACAGTTGCCGTGTCCCGGGGTCACGTGATCCCCTTTTCTGACCTTCTGAGAAGCAAAGTCAATGGGGGGGGGAGCCAGATTCACTTAACAACCATGCTACTAACTTAACCACTGCAGTGATTCACTTAATGACTGTAGCAAGAAAGATCATAAAATGGGGCAAAGCTCACTTCACAAGTGTCTCGCTTAACAACGTAAATTTTGGGCTCAAACATTGTTATAAGTTGAGGACTCTCTGTAACATGACTGCATCCATTCAATTAATTTTCAGTTTATTGAGGTCATAAACCAATACAGATAATAAGAAAGATGAACTTTTAAGACAATTAAATTTTAAATTGACTATTTTTAAGGAAAAACATCTGCTGCCCTCTACTGGCCTAGAGAAACATGACAGGGAAATAAATGTGAGCTATGTAAATTAAGAAAAACTATTCGAACTGTTTGAAGATGGCGCGGAAGACAGCCGCCTCGGTGAAATGCTCCCTAATGGTTTCTTATCATTAAGTGTCGTACCTGATGATTCTCGACTCTTGACAAATGTATCTTTTCTTTTATGTACACTGAGAGTATTTGCACCAAGACAAATTCCTTGTGTGTCCAATCACACTTGGCCAATAAAGAATTCTATCTATCTTCTATCTAAATTACTAACAGTTTTTCTGATTGCTCACTTGGGAAAATACTAACAACACTTTTGCAAGTTTATAATCCCTTCTTTAACCACAAAAGTGCCTAAGGTGCAACATTTTTTAATAATTAGATTTAGGAAAAGGATTGTACTAAATAAGGATAAGAGGAAGATATTCTTGTTATAGAAACAAAGACAGGAAGTTAACTCTGGGAAGAAACCTGATATTCCCTGCCTTCACTTGTTTTTCTTTGCTTGTTTCAAAATATTTTAAGACAGATTGAAAAGAGGATTGGAAACAGTATGGATATTCCACCTGTTAAACTAGAGGGATCCAGAAATAACTGGATTTGCTAACCCAGATGGAATTTTCCTTTCGTATATTGTACAGAATGACGATGACGATATATCAAACAGAATTAATCCCTTTTTGTAGGTCAACATGCTTTCAGCAAATGACCTAAAATTACAGATGTCACTCAAGCTCTGGATTTCATTTCAGATCTATTGTGGGCAATGTGAAATCTTGCTGATGGAGCTAAAGTAGAGATGGAACCTGGAGACTTTATTCTGATGTCCAAGTTAGGTGGACATTGATACCATCTCTGGCCATTCCAGAGGCTCATTTTACCCAGTTGAAGGTCTGATGTTGTAAGATCCCAGATTCCTATGAGTTCTTCACTTCCATGGATATTTTCTGGATCTTCCTTCCCATTTTAAGTAGGAACTGCATGATTCTCACCAGCCTCTGTTCTTTATGTATATCTTTTTGAAAAATACATGTATATTTTATTTATTTTTTATTCATTTTGTTTTGTTTTGTCAAATGATTATAAGATAACAGGTATAAGTATAAACATAGTTATGAATACATGAAATGGATACATATAAGAAAACAAAAACAATAGGACAGGGACGGTAGGCACATTGGTGCGCTTATGCACGCCCCCTACAGACCTCTTAGGAAAGAGGTGAGGTCAATAGTAGACAGTCTAAGGTTAACGTTTTTGGGGTTTGGGGAAAAAAACCATAGAGTCAGGTAGAGTATTCCAGGCATTGACCGCTCTGTTGCTGAAGTTGTATTTCCTGCAATCAAGTTTGGTGCGATTAACCTTGAGTTTGTATATATTGTGTGCATTCCATTGTTTAATGTTTAATACAGTTTGCCCATGTAAGCATGTTAAATATAAGCATAACCATAAAACGTCAAATAATTAAAAATTACTTACAGGAATAGTAGGCCTTGGTGTAAATAAGGTAGCCTAGAGTGCAAACAATGAAAATAAGAGGCTTCAGTATCAACTTTATAAAGCAATAACAGCAGCCACATAATATTGATTGCATTATGGTGATAAATACATGGTAATATTCCTTCTTATTATTACTTCAAAATCATTCAAAAACATAACATATCCCAAAGGCAATGGAAACTCATCAAACAAATGCACTAAGGGTGGATCTCCAAATTTGATGAATTTCAATACTCAGCATTACTTACTATTGATGGGCAACAAGAATTGTGGCTCAGCATCTCCATGGAGGGCTACACATTGTGCAATTACGCTTCACAAAAGCTTGCAACACAAGGTCAGAATTTTGTAGGAACATTTTTTTTTAAACAGGCCTTCAGGCCACACAAAATAAGTAATGCAGTTGGCTGACTGAAGCACATCTTCACTTTAAAAAACAGAAAAAACTCTGATTTTCAGAAACATTGGTTTACTTCTTCCGCCTCTGTGCCCTCATTCCATTTATAATCCTTACAGGTTTTTTTTCTTAAGGTAAAGACACTTAAGTTGTAGTGATTTCATGGACGGTGGTGGAATGACTTCAAGTCATACTGAACATACAGATAGACATGGTCTATAGTGGTGGAATTATAATCCGATTGAATCCTGCTTAGTTTATTGAAACCAGCCAAGATTACCTAGTTGTCCTTTTAGATGCAGTTCTACTTACTTTTCCAGGTTGACCTGGGAGACCAGGAGCACCAATTTCACCCTAGGAAGGAAAAAGGGAGGGAGAAAAATATGGAGTAGGCAGGAAGGGAGGAAAGGAGGGAGGGAGAGAGAGAGAGAGGGAAAGAGGAAGGAAGGATGGATGGAAGGAAGGAAGGATTAGAAATGGAGACCCAGTTTCATATCTGAATTTAATAAATGTAAACTGTGGTATACAAATTCATCATCCAATAAGGAGATGATCTGCCATAAATCTAATAAATATTCATCACATATTTATACTGCTACATTCCTTAAGTATTCATTTAATTGATGGTATGCAATTAAAATCGACATGATAAAAGAAAGAGGTTTTTTTGGCAATTGTACACAATGTTTTATCTTTGAATATGAAGTTTCAATTAGACCAGTGCTGGATAAAAATAAGGTGCCTTTCTTCTAACATCATGACCTTCACCCTAAATCTTATTCCTTTTAACCTCCTCAAAAGTGACATTGATGTAGTTGTATCAGCATTCAAGAGCGTTGGTTTACAGATCAGATGAAAAAGAATGTGTAGCTGAACTTGGGGATTATGGAAGGAACAAATGATCCACTAAGGGGGAACTTAAAGGAAAGATTACTGATCCTGAGAAAGAGCCAAGTGTGATAAAGAAGCCCTAAATAATCCCACTTTAATTCTGTGCAGTTTGGACAGAGATAAACCTAGTGTAGTTAAGCTTCCATGATTATTTTATTGTACCTTAAAGCATTTCATCCAACTCAGTCCCTTTCTTGACCTGAGCCGAGGTTATGACTTCTGTTTAGATGGCTCCAAGACAGCTTTCAAGGCAGTAGTTTTACAGTAAGCTAAAGGTAAAGGTTCCCCTCTCACAAAAGTGCTAGTCATTTCCAGCTCTAGGAAAGCGAAACAGCTTTCCGAAGCTGTCCAAAGATGTCTCCATGGTCATGTGGCTGACATGACTAAATGCTGAAGGTGCACGGAATGCTGTTACCTTCCCACGAAAGTGGACCCAATTTTTCTACTTGCATTTTTACATGCTTTTGAACTGCTAGGTTGACAGAAGCCGGGACAAGTAATGGGAGCTCACTCCATTACACAGCATTAGGGATTCAAACCGCCAACCTGCCAACCTTTCTGATCGACAAGTTCAGTGTCTTAGCCACTGACCCGCCACATTTTATTGTAAGGTTACATTAACAGAATCTTGCAAGTATGAAAGCACATTGGTCCGCCCTCACCTTTGCTCTCTAGGGGACTTTCTGGGATGCTTTCCATGGTCCAATTTCTTTTGCTAGCTGAGAAGTCTCTTATCTCTCTATTGTTCTTCCTCCATCTGTCTCCCATGGACAGACCATAACAATAACTCAAGAATGCCCAGGGAAGCATCCATGGAGGAGTTCAAAAGGCGGAAGTCACAACTGGAAGTCTTGCTTTTATTTTACATGTATCTACCATCTTAAATTTTGACCCCTTGTCTTGTGGGCACTACTCTTATGTTCAGCTGTTTTTCCAAAATAGTCTCTGGCATGGATCGTAAGGAACATTCTCAAGTTCTGAAAGCAGGCAAGCACTGGTTGAAGCCACAACAAGCCTTTCACTATTATTATTACTGGTAGTAGAAAAAGAGATATGTCACCCTTGTCTATACCACTCAATCTTTCTTCTGTTTCTCCTATGCTCTGATTGTTATTATTATTTCCATTTCAAGGATGTATGATTTCCAGAGAGCAATACACTTGACTCAGCTGGATACTTGAACATTTTGCTTTAGTTGATTGACACCTTCCACCATCTGTTGGATAGACTCCTTTTTTTCTGATTTTTCCTGCTTCAAAATCAAGATGTAGCTGAAATAATCAGGGATCTCTTTTCAGAAGGAAATATGTTTCATTTTATATATACAGAAATGCACACATCTGTACAATACTATATGTGTCTCTGTGTATAGGTATTTCCTTCCTTCCTTCCTTCTTTTTTTCCCTTCCTTCCCTTCCTCCCTCCATCCTTCTCTTCTTCCTCCCTTCCTTTGTTTCTTTTTCTTCTTTCTTTCTTTCTTTCTTTCTTTCTTTCTTTCTTTCTTTCTTTCTTTCTTTCTTTCTTTCTTTCTTTCTTTCTTTCTTTCTTTCTTTTCCAAATTTGTACATTGCACATCTCATTATCCACATGACTGTGTGGTTTGCAAGTAAGAACCCACGAAATCTTTATAAAAATCCTTGATTTTTAATCAGATTAATTTCATTAATCTGAAATTGAAACTGGGAGAAAATACTCTTTCTTATCTTGCTTTGATTGACAGTTCCAATATCCAGTCATTGAATGTTCAACAGCATAAATTTTGGAATGTCTATCCTATCATCTACCCACTGTGTTCAATGCAGATAATAATTGTATAAGCATATGTGGTGTAGGTCATACACAAACAATGATGTCACCCACAAAACAAACGAATTTATCAGTGTGCATATAAATCATGGGATTTAATCAGTTATCTGGTAACTTACTTTTTCTCCTCTATCACCTTTGAAGCCAGCGAGTCCAGTTCTTCCTTTTTCACCCTGTAAACCCAAATAACCCAAGATCTTATATGATGATCCTTGGTGGCAAAAATAGATCTAAAATATTATTTGCTGCAATTTCTGCTTTCAACAATTATCACAAGTCAATTTGAGGACAAAAAGGGACAAAAATCTGTACTAACTTCTAAAACAGATTCAAAGTTTTGTTAAAAAGCATGAATTCCTTTTCTTGTTGGAAGGGAACAATAATTTTGCTGGGCTGGAATTTCTAGACTTTAAAATTTCTGGGAAGGAAAACTGATTAATCAGGAGATGATGTACCTCTGCACACTTATATAGATTACACTTTTTATTTTACTTTGGGCAGAAGCTAAAAGCCACTCATGTCAGGTGGTGATGCCTTAGAAGTGATCAGGGTTGGAATTTCTGGACTTGGTTTAAAGTTTGGTTGGGTTAGGAGTTGCCTTGGTGAGCATTAAGTTTGAAAAAAATCTGGGTGACTTGGCTCTTCTGTTGGTTTGCCATTTAAGAGTGCGTATCACAACACAGTCCGCAAGAAGAAGGTTTGAAGGTTGTACAGCGGTCTTCATTTTCCTTTCCTGAGGTAAAAAGTGCTGTGCTTCTCAGACCTTCTCAAGATATTACGATAGACTTTGACAAGGCCATTGAATAATGTCATTGCCCCAATGACAAAAGTTAATTATTTCTAGGCAGTATTGAAAAGCAAAATAACAAACATTTGCCATAATTAGTTATTTCCGAATATTTTTTTGCAATTTATATTTATGTTTTTTAGGACAGTGGGGCAAGCAGTGGGGAGGATTAGTGGTGGAAGCCCTCAACAACAGCCCCAGTTTTTCACATGGCCCCTTGAGAAAATTAATCGCCAACCCCTAGTCTAGAAGGTTGACAGATACCAACTGTTCTTCAAATAGAAATTTCCATTCCTTTATGAATCAAACCAAAACTTGTATACATCCTGAATTGAATACCTGGTTTCCTTTTTCTCCTCTTGGACCAGGCAAACCAGGTGAGCCTGGAAGACCAGCTTCACCCTAAATGAGAATATAATATACTTAGAATTGTAGAAAATTCAATTGATTTGAAATGTCAGTTTGATCGCCTCCCCGAATGTAACCATTTAAGGGTTTTATTACTCTGTGGATTAAATGCACCAAATCAGCCCCTAAATTGATTCAGCAATTTGACAAAGGTGTGTGTGCGTGTATGTGGTCACACATTCACAAATCATTGTGGTTCTGACATGATTTACCCAGCCTACTAGGTAACTTTTGCCAAGGTTTCATTTCATTTTTAGCATCCAATATGGACCACACAAACATTCTTTTGAGGCCCTACACATGTATCCTCTCAATCTTTCTAATTAAGATTGCCACCAACACTGCTGTAAATGCACTGCTGACTACTGGTTGTTTTGGGAAGGATATTGCCTCAATAAAAGGACAACTTAGAAACATCATCATAAGTGAGGAGGTTACAGTAGGACTAAGACAAAAAAAATCCAGGTTGTCTACCTTGGCACAACAATTTTAAGGAGAACCTTGAGGCACTCACTCACTGTTAGTTCAACTTGTTCCATAGAGTGTTATTGTAATTATATAATAAAGGGAGATTTCCTTGTAAGCTGCCTTGAGCATTCAAAAGCAAAGTCATTAGATATCGAACAAATGGCAAATTAACCTTATAGACTACTTTGCCATGAACAATACTTACCCTCTCCCCAACTATGCCAGAGGGTCCTGGGGGGCCTGATTCACCCTGAAAAATAGCAAAATATCATGTTTCCCAAGTTTTTTGTTTTATTTTCCAAACTTTTACACATCTATCTCTAAAACTAAAGTACGAACAAGAAAGCAAAAATTCTCTTTAGTTATTTTTTTCCTCTGGTGAAGGAAGAACCTTTTGCAGACATTTGAATCTCTTTCAAAAAAGAATTTGTGAAGAATGCTACGCATGCACTTATTAAGCACATAGAAGGATATATTATATTAAACATATCTCATTAAATGTTATTGGTAGCTATTTAAGTCATTCTTGCCTGCTTGAAAATGTTTATTTCATGGGTGACTTACAATACAATAAAAACATAAACATAAAACTGTAGAAAGTCAGCACACACACCCCTCCTAGAAGAATGAAATGGTTTGGGAAATATTAAAAAGGCAGAATATTATATTTCCCCAAAGGGAGAAATGGAGAAACATGTTTTTTAAGAGGCAGGAAACAGCCCCAGTCTCCCAGCCCCAAGCAGAAACTGAGGAGCCACCTTTTAGAAATGCAGATTTGGTAACCATTATTTTGAGAGTCCCTGCAGCAAAGTCAGAATAAAGGCATAGGATTAGCCCTCACTCAAGATCCAACACAGGACAAAGCCATTAAGCCACAAAAGGGATTGCCCAACACCCTTTCAGAACATAAGCCACTTCATTACACCATCCCCAGAGCAGTCCAAACTTCAACCAAACCTGGGAGCTCAGACAAACACCCAGGATTTGCATTTCCTCTTTTGCCTATAGAGCCAGCTATGACCCCTGCATAACCCCTACATGACCCCATAGCAATCTGACAAAAGCCCATAGAATACATGTTCTTGCACAGGAACAGAAAGCTCAAGAGCAAAGCCCAAAGAAGGTACAAAACCCCCCATTCTCAACTCCATTTTTGTCAGCTTCCCAGAACCACAAACCCCAGTGGTTCTGCTTCATCAATAAACCATCTTTCCAATCAGCCTCCATGTTTCCAGTATTTTTCTCCCAGCTTGGAACTGAACCAGATGGATATTTCTTCCCACAATTTGGCCCCCCAAAGGGAAAATTGGAGACTCCAAGCTAACCTGACCAATGGGCCTGGCCTCGGTAAGCCTCCCTTGCTGGCAACAGACCCACTGACTGATCTTGGCCATTTGGAACAAAGGTAGTAAAGGGAATGTTGAGTGTTGAGATCAAAGGCTACTTGGAAAGAAGGTGAGTACCTCTAAAGTTTAACTTTTAAAGCCCAGAAAAGTGAGGGAAATGTGTGTATGCCTATGTGTGAGAGAGGACTCTGCTCCCAATCATAGCTGGATCCTGATCCCTCTGTGCCTTTCCTAGAACAGAAAGATCTGTTCTACCAATAGAGCCAGGAAAGTATAGAAGGTCAGGCCAGAGCACAGGACCTTTTGTTAGGGAAAAGAGAGAGGCTGTGTGAAAATGGAATGGAAAAGTGAATGAGAGAGTTGAACTTGAGCAACCAGCTGGGAAGTCACTGAACAAAACCCTGTGTTAGGAGGTGTTAGGAAAAGCAGTAGGTCCTCCAGGGCCCCTTTTTGGTCTGAAAACTGATTGGTATTCCCTACAAAAGGAGGTGCCTGTCCTCTCTAGGGAACCAGAGTTCTCTGGGAAGGTTTTTGTTTGTTTACTTTAATCCAAAAACTGATGGCGGTAGACCCAGCTAAGCCAAAGTGAACCCCACTTCAGAAGGGGAATATGGGAAGCTGTAGCTCAACGGTTGCAACAGGAACCCCCTTAGGAGATTTGCTCATGGCATAGGATGAGTGGCAGATGCCCATCCTGGCTGGTATGAATAAGAAGATGTGAGCAAGGAAATTGTGCAATTTTGCTCAGGGATGGAATTGTAAAACCAATTTGGCTAAATAAAGGTACTTAAAAAAAGAAAAGGGGAATATATAAATAGGAACGTTGGTTTTGTTTGTTTGTTTGTATGTTTTTTCTCTCTCTCTTCCTCTCTGTCTTCCATGCAACCACATGATCTGTTTGTTAAGATTTGTGCCTTCCCTAAGTTGAATCAACTGAGATTTATAGTGGGAAGGACCAGGGTGTAACCCCGAAAGTTCTGTTTTCCTCTCCTTTTCTCCTTGGTTTTGTGTGTGTGTGTTTGTTTCAAAATCTTTGTGTGCCCTCGAGGTAATTATAACTGTCAAGAGTCTCTGATCCCTAAAGACAAGAATTTTAAATTGTTAGGAAAAAAAAAGTTAAAGCAATGAAAAGAAAAAAAATACCTTTACCCTGGGTTTGCCTGGCCAGCAGAACAGGGTGAAGAGAACTGTGTTCATTTTTTTTTCCTTCCCTCTCTGTACCTTTAAGAACAGCCCAAGGTTATGAGGGAATGTTTTAAGTTCATTTACAGGAGAGAGAAAAAATCATTCTTGCATTTACTGTATGTGTTTAAGTGGTTTTATCTGTCTATTTAACACCTGCAATGTTAACTTTAATGTTTTGTTCCAAACTCTGCCTGCAAGCTATCTATCCACCCCGACTCCACCTCTCCATCTTTTATCCTCCAACAATGCCTTTTCTAGGAGAATCACCCACAAAGGAGGGAGGAGGCCCTGTCCTCATATCTTTCAGCCCCGCACAGACAACTCTGCAATCTTCAGAAGCAGATCACACTGACCCAGATGCTGCCTCCAGAAGAGATCCTCCATCCATTTGAGCCAGGGAGTTGGGTTTGGATCCGGTCATCTACTAAAAAAATTCATCACAGCAAGCAGAATGGAGCAGACTTTCCCAAGTGTGATTGACCAGTCTTACCACCAAGCCAAGCCTAATGCCATCCAGCAGACAGGAGGAAAGAGGACACTGAGATGGACCAGTGAAGACTAAAGAATCTTTCAATCCTCAGAAGACAGCTGGAAAAACTATGGTGGGAGGGCAGAAATTCATTGTAAGGTTTTCTTTCTTGCCTATTTATGTTGTAATCAGTTAAATGGATTCATGGAGGGATGGCATTTGGGAGTGGTTGGCACAGCAAGTTCTGAATGCCTTGGACTTCTATCTGGTGGGAGGGAAATTTGTCCAGGATGTTTGTGTTGTCTGTCTTGTAGAAGTAGTTGCATGTGCATGCATACACACATGCCACTCAGAATCAGAATGAGGATATCCCCCTCACCTACCTCCACACACAGCTTCTCCTGGGTTGGTTTTTGCTCTTTGGCACTAAGATCCAAGCAATCATACCTCTCTGCCAATTCCATGGGGGAGGGGGCATGCCCCTCAGGCAATTCCCTCACTGAAGAAGTAGCAGAAAAAAGTTCTCCAAACCCAAAAACCTGAGTGTGACTCACAAATGATGCTGCTCGGTTGCCCAGTAAGACAAAATATGTTGCACTGGTGGTCTTATTAGTAGGAGTCATAGGACTCATTGTGTGCAATTTATACAATATTAATAGCCTGGATTGCACACTGGCTAACCTCAATTTGGCCTCACAAACCCAGGATGCATTAAACTAAGAGCTAAGACAGGTTCAGGAAACAAACCTTGGAAATGGGCAGCCAGTAGTTATTTACTAAAGGTAAACCATGGCTGTGAAAAATTATGGGGCTTGTGCTTGCTTCAAATCTGACTGGAAGCTCACAGAAAGTGATGTCAAGCATATGAAAATAATTGGTAGAAAAATTAGATACTGTAAATTTCTTTTCAGAACTTTTGCCCTGGCTGTTAGATCTTCATGGGTTGAAAGCTCTCCTTTTGGGAACCACTGAAGGGATACTTTTCTGCTCCCTTTATCAATGCTTTTCCCCTTTGCATTAAAAATAAATAAAAATAAAAGCACCCATCAAATCTCCCTGATCAGATCAATTCCTAATCTTGGGGCAGAAAAAGTGTTCCATCCACACTTATGTGGCCCAAAGGGAGGAGGGGGTTATTGTAGAAAGTAAATACCACCACCATCACCAAGAAGAATGAAATGGTTTGGGAAATATTAAAAAGGCAGAATATTATATTTCCGCAAAGGGGAAAATGGAAAAACATGTTTTTAAGAGGCAGGAAACAGTCTCCCAGCCCCAAGCAGAAACTGAAGAGCCATCTTTTAGAAATGCAGATTTGGTAACCATTCAAGTCAGGATATTTTAAAACTCCCTGCAGCAAAGACTGAACAAAGGCAGAATGATAGGATTATCCCTCACTCTAGATCCAACACAGGACAAAGCCATTAAGCCACAAAAGGAATTGCCCAACACCCTTTCAGAAGACAAGCCCCTTCATTACACCATCCCCAGAGCAGTCCAAACTTCAACCAAACCTGGGAGCTCAGACAAACACCCAGGATTTGCATTTCCTCTTTTGCCTATAGAGCCAGCATAACCCCATAGCAATCTGACAACAGCCCATAGAATACATGTTCTTGCACAGGAACAGGAAGCTCAAAAGCAAAGCCCAAACAAGGTATAAAAACCCACACTCTCAACTCCTTTTTGTTAGCTGACGAGAACCACAAACCCGTGTGGTTCTGCTTCTTCAATAAACCACCTTTCCAATCAGCCTCTATTTTTCCAGTATTTTTCTCCCAGCTTGAAAACTGAACCAGATGGATATTTCTTCCAACAAAATCATTAAGATCAATCTAGGAATTAGATGTGGGATCTTCTTTCCTACCCTAGCAGCTACCTCCAGTATTTACTTATTTAGAATATTTCTCATATTTTATAAGAAATGAATTTTCTTTTCTTTTTCTACCTTGGAGCCTGCTTTACCAACTTCTCCCCTTTCCCCTTGTTCTCCCTGTAAAAAACAAAACATAAAAGAAAATTAGTCCAAAAAAGGACAATGTGAAATACAATTGTTGAATAGGGTCAGAATTAAATGTTTCAAAGAACACTTAGGGTTCCCCAAAATAGAGAGCCTACAATGTCCAGAGTTTTACTGAAAATGGCTTTCTCGCAATTTCCATTTATCAGTTCTAGCTCTTCCTTCTAAGTAAATGAAGAAACACAAATTTTGATTTATTAAATTCAAGTACGTAAAAAGAATGAAAGAATGGTTGGCTGACATGTTTTACACATGCAAATATGGAGACTACCTTATTTGTGCAAGGAAATGGTGCATGCACCAATCTGTGCAAACAATTTATACATGACCTTTAGATTTGATGTCCTGTATAGTAGCTTCCAAATATTTGAAACACCTATTATGGCTTCTGGTTTGTTTTTGTTTTTGTTTTCCTTTTCTAATAAGCTTACTTTGGAATCAATGAGCCACAACATTTCAGACACCAGCCACTGAATTTAGCCAGAAATTCATGATGAATCTTCGTATTAAGTAAAGGAGCAAGAAACTTAATTCCTGTTTGGAATTATCAGACCATGGAATTGTTAATTTAAGCCTTTCCAGCAATGAGATCAGCAAAGATTTGTCACTAAGCTTACTTACTTTTGACCCTGGAAGACCAGGTAAACCATCTTGACCAGATTTTCCAGGTAAACCCTAAAGGAAAAGGAAAAAGGAAAACAAGCCATGCATATTAATTTCTGGGTTCAGATATGCCTGGTTTTACTTCATCAAGGGGGGCATAATTTTCTGCATCATAAAAAGAAATAAGGAGAAATTTCCTGACCATTGGAACAATTAATCCATGGAATAGCTTCCCTCCAGAAATTTTGGGTGCCTATCACTGGAGGTTTATAAGAAGAGATTGGATAGCCATTTGTCCACATGGTATAAAATCTCTTGCTTGAGCAGGGGGTTAGACTAGAAGATCTCCAAGGTCCCTTCCAATTCTGTTATTCTTCAGTTCAGATACAGGATATGGTTTAAAATCAGACTAGGTGAGTTCGGATTTCACTCTTTTTATGACTCAATAAAAACTTTTGTACCTAGCTGACAATTTAATCAGTCTGGGATAATTTATTAATATCTACTAAAGCATCACTTCACAGATTTCAACTGACGTGGCAAATGATTATTAAGCCTTCCATAATTCCACAAAATTGACTGAAAAACAAGTTGAGAAGGACACAGCTCATTTGAAGGATGACAATCTATGCATAAGGACAAGGTTGGGGAAGCTGAGATTCTGTCTCAGAGATTTCCCAATGCAGTGCTAGAAATTTACCCCATGTTTGGAGAAAAGCAACCAAAACTAAAATATATATTTGAGTGGGAAAACATCAAGGAGCTCAGCAGGTTTGCTGTTTATGATCATGAACACTTTTTAAAACAATTCAAGAGATGGCCACAAGATGTCAGCAATGGCAAAGAAAAGATCTCACAGCTCTGAAACTTGGAAATAGTTAAAAATAGTTACTGAAGTTCAGCAAAAGCTATAGAAAACTATGGTCAAGTTAATATATAAGTTGCTACAACTTGATTTATTAAATTAGCCACAAAAGCTCCATTTTTATTTTACTAAGCCAGTAATTCCCAATCTTGTCAACTTTAAGATTAAGGGCCAGTACACTTCAACATCGTCATAAATGATCTAAATGAGGGGAAAAGAGAACTCATCAAATTTGCAAATAACACCAAGCTGTGGGGAATTGCTAATACTTTGGAAGATAGACTCAAGATTCAGAAAGATCTTGACAAACTTGAGCATTGGGCCCTGGCTAACAAGATTCAGTTCAGTGGTAAGAAAAGTAAGATGTTGCATTTAGGTAGAGAAAAACAGATGCACAGATACAGGTAGGCAGTACCTGGCTGAACAGTAAGTAATTGTGAGAGGGAGCGAATTGTCCTAGTGGACAGCCACTTGAGTATGAGCCTGTAGTGTGTTCCAGCTGCCACAAAGGCCAATGCAATCCTAGGCAGCATCAATAGACAGATAGCCTCAAGGTCACAAATGACACTATTGCTTTATACTGAACTAGTGAGCCCATATTTGGAATATCAGGTCCAATTCTTGCCACCATGATAAATGCTGAGAAAAGTACAACAAAGATAACAGGTCTGGAGGCTAAGTTGTACAGTGAACAGTTAAGGGAACTAGGTATGTTTGGCATAACAAAGAGAATAATTAGGGGTGACGTGATGATAGCTGTGCTCCAGTACTGGAAGGGCTGTCACACAGAAGAGAGGATTGACTTATTATCCAGAGCATTTGAAGGTAGAACCAGAAGCAATGGCTGGAAAGCTCCTTAAAGAGTGATCCAACCAGAAACTAAGGAGAAATTTCCTGACAGGGAGAACAATTAATCAGTGGAATTAATCAGTCATAAGTAAGGATTGGAAGCACATGGGCTGATGCTAGCAAACAATAATTGGACTAACTCAGAGGTGATATTCAGCAGGTTCTGACCAGTTCTGGAGAACCAGTAGCAGAAATTCTGAATAGTTTGGAGAACCAGCAAATACCACCTCTGACTGGCCCTGCCCCCATCTATTCTTTGCCTCCCAAGTCCCAGCTGCACAGGAGAATGGAGCTGGAAAGCAGGTTAGTGGGGTGGGGAGGGAATGGGGATTTTACAGTATCCTTCCCCAGCCACGGCCACCCAGCCATGTCACACCCTCCAAGCCACACCCACAAAACCATTAGTTAAAAAAAATGAATCTCACCACTGGACTAACCATTATTTGACTACCTGTGATTGTTACTCTTAAATTATCTTAATACTTTAAAAATATTGTATTAAAGGCAGAATATATCTTGACCTTGGAAGAGACTGTTTGCTTATTTTAGCTGTATATTGACCCAAATGCACACATTGAAGATTCTATGACATAAACTCACCGGTGGCCCACGTTCACCATTTCTGCCAATTTCTCCTGGTTGACCCTGGTTGACAAAGTTAACACACAGTTAAAACAGATTATAATATTGAGGTTTCCCTGGTATTATCTGCCACCTATTTCCAGCCAAGTCCACAAGAAAAGCTACTCTGCGTTCTGTTATACTTGGCTTTGAGGGGTTGCCTTCAAGTCAACCTCAAATCCTGGTGACTGCCTGGACAAGACCCTGCAGATTTTGGGGCAATATTTCAGAAGTGGCTTGCCATTGCTTGTTTCTTGGGGCTGAGAGACAGTGAGCTGGCTTGGTGCCTAAGGCAGAACTAAGACACACAATCTTCTAATTTGGGGCCTTACCCATTATACCAAATTGACTGTCACTATGGTATAATGCTTATTTTTAGATTATTTACCAGAGTCAGTGCTGAGTTAGGCCTGCATTCTCCTCTCTCCAGCTCTGTCTACCCATCCCCCATAAATATAGGAAGAATTTTGTTTTCATGCCTTTCTTTATCTAACTTCTCTTTCAGGTCCTGTGTTGACCATTACGGCCAACCAGATTGTACCACAACAGGTACCCTCTGAATCTCAAATAAAGAGTGCTATCCAACATTGCTAAAATGTTGGATAGCGCTCTTTAAATGTTTAAAATGTTTAAAATGTTTTTCCTTACTGGAGAACCAGCAGGTCCAGGAGGCCCTGGGAGACCCTGTAAAGAAATGTAGAAGACAATTACATTAAATTGTAAGCTGCCCAGAGTCACTGATTGACATTGGCAGCTATGAATTTTGAATAAATGAATCAATACATTCCATGTAATCCATCAATATATTTTTTCTCACCAGCATTGTTTCTAACTTTCAGTTTTTGCAGAGATTAATAACTGTTCCCTTACCCACTAGACATAGGATGTCTCCTCTCTGTGTACAAGATAGAGCATTTCAACAAGTGCTACTTTTCCTACCGCTATAGTTTTATAATGCAGTTTGCCTAAAAGGCAGTTTGACTGATGGAAGAACTGAAAAGTATAAATGATAAAAAATTAGTTTTCATTGCTTTTTTCAATGTAAGCCTCTTTTTTTTTCCTGCCAATGAATGGCACTTGAGTGACACCTGTCTTTTCAGAGAAATGATAAGGGATCTAAATAAAGTGAATACTCAGTATTCTTCTTCTGTGAATTGTTGAAGATACAACCCACTCTGTATTTGTTGTATTCACAACAAGGAAGTGTTTCGCATAGAGAAATATTTCTGATATTCCCCAAATCCATTTGTTCTCTTCTTGTTCTACAAGAAAGTATCGGGTCACCCTCAGACCTGCTTCCACTTGAACCTGGTTGAGCACGTGGTTGGAGTAGAAGGCCTCTGAGGTCCCTTCCAACGGTGTTAGTCTGTTAAGAAATATCTTTGAACTTCTTCCCTAGTTCCACTCTCCTTTTTAAAAAATGCTATTTGATGCTTCAAATATAAGAAAAATTTTTCCCCGAAAGCCATCACTCTGCTAAACAAATAATTCCCTCAACACTGTTCATCTATTACAAAGTCTGCACTACTATTACTTTTAATCTTCTCATCATTCCTTTTCACCCATCCCCTCCCACTTGTGACTGTATGACTGTAACTTTGTCGCTTGTATCCTTACAACTTATACTGACTGTTTCCTAGTATGATTTGATTGCTGATTGTACCCTATGACTATCATTAAGTGTTGTATGTTATGATTCTTGATTCTTAATGAATGTATCTTTTCTTTATGTATACTGAGAGTATTTACACCAAGACAAATTCCTTGTGTGTCCAATCACACTTGGCCAATAATTAATCCTCTACCCACAAGCAATTCAATTTACCAGAAGTTTTATAATAATTAAAAAAACCTAGCCAGACTAAAAGAGAAACTGACTTAGGAAAAGGTCAGTCTACTCTTAACAAAGGTAGAGCTTTTATAAAATTTGTTTTATGTTGTTTGGGTTCATGTCGCATTTCAAACTGTAATGAGAAAAAGTCAAGGTCAATTTTTTATCAGCTTCTCATTCTTGTTCTTTACTTGGTAATAAAAATCTAATACAAAATAAAAGTCCAAAGATCAAAAATGCACTCTTCTTGCACAGTGATCACAAAAGAAGTCATGATTTCAAAATAATAATAATGTGAATAATTCATGTGAATAGTTCACACTATATAATTTATTGTAGATTTGGAGCCTTCTCCAAGAAAATTCAGACAGCAAATTCTCAAAGCCTGGAATTTGAGTTTTGATGTTCTTTAAAGCATCACTTACACAAGGGGCACTCTGCCCAATGTGTGTAGATCATTTGCACTTCAAAGGGCAATTTAAAGTGTGTTAAAATATTTAAATTTAGTAGCTGGATCAGTGGGATTGTGCAGTAAGCCAAAATACACAGTTGTAGTTGATTGATTGGAGAATTCTGGCTCCTCTGTGAGGCAATCTGTGCTGTCCTTGGTTACTGTGAGTGTGCGGGGGAGTTTCCCTTTTTCCCCGCCTTTTTCCTTTGTGTCCCATGTGCTCTGTTATTTACCTCATGATGCTCCTGTTTCCCTGACTATCTAGTTTGCTGTATATATTGATGTAAAATAAATGTATTTATTAAAAAAAAACCCTGCATGTCGGCATCTATTATTTCATTTGGACACCGGCTGTGCAATTCCCTGACAAAGTATTAATTTAGGGAATTAGAGAAATTAGGGCTTAGGGAATTCCCTAAAATTAGGGAAATTTGCCTGAAGTCAAAAACCAGATGCATTTTGTAAATTTGGTCATGGAGGGTTTTGCAAACTAAGCCCTGTAAAGAAAAAAGCATTCAAGTTTCCACACGAGAGAACAGCTTCTTGATCTTACACAATACAAACATTATAAGCTTGACTTTTCAGCACCTTGGACAGAGATCAGACTGGTATCCTATTCAGTCTTACTTACAGGAGGTCCAGATAATCCATCAATTCCAGCAAGACCCATTTCTCCTTTCTTGCCCTAGGCGAGAGAACTGAAAGTTATGAACCACGTAATGAAAAGAAACAAGTTGAACTGATCATCCAACCAATTGATTATGAGTTATGCATTAAAACTAGATCATAGGTAAGATAATTCCTTGGATTGTCAAGAGATCTTCTTAATTTTACAGTATCTGTTTTAAACAGAATTATAATCCTTGATTTTGATACGTTAGGATTAGCGTGCTGAAACATAATTCCCTCAATACTGTCCAACTATTTACTAAGTCTGCATTACTATTACAATAATCTTCTCATTGTTCCTATCACCCATCTCCTCCCACTTGTGATTGTACGACTGTAACTTTGTTACTTTTATGATTTATATTGACTGTTTCCTAGTATGATTGGATTGCTTATTTGTACACTATGACTATCATTAAGTGTTGTACCTTATAATTCTTGACAAATGTACATTTTCTTTTTTATGTACACTGAGAGCATATGTACCAAGACAAATTCCTTGTGTATCAAATCACACTTGGCCAATAAAGAATTCATTCATTCATTCATTTATTCATTTATTTATTTATTCATTCATTCATTCATTCATTCATTCATTCTTCATGAGGAGCTTTCCTTAAAAAAGATGTCCAGATATTTCAACTGGAACAAAATCCTGCAGCCATGTCAGACTAGAAGACTTCCAAGGTCCCTTCAAACTTCTATTATTCTGTTACTAAAAGAAGCCAATGAAAATTCATAAAGACTGAGGAAAGGAATTGTCTACTTCTGATCAGAAGGGTTGTAGGTGCTATGTTGCAACCTAAGTAGAATTTAATTATCAGTCAGTGTGATTAGATTTTTGGCATAACAATCACTTAGGAGTACTGCCATCTGTGTGGTTTCCATACTGTGCCCAGGGCATTTTTTTTGGGGGGGGGAGAGGGGGTGTAACAAAATACAATTCAAATGAACATGAGTAAACAGGAAAAAAAATATTGCTTTTTGAAAGAGTCCACATTTCTCTCATTGCAAGCAGGGCTGTTAAACAGGACTTCTTTGGCTTCTGTAAAATGAAGGAGCTAAGAAAAATAAACCTGTAATTCAATATAGATTTATAGCACACAAGGGAATTTTTAATCTCATTTCTACATGACTATTTATTATCCCAGAGTCCATTACATTATTTTTTTATGGGTTACCTGCTACGATTTTCATTACTACAGCAGAATGGAATCATGCCAGAAAAAATATGAATTCTCATTCTGCAGCCCAGAATTTTTTTAAAAATGACCCAGAGAAAAATGCATAGGGAAGGGAATGAAAGGGGAGAAGGTGGTTCAAATTTAAACTCAACCAAACAAGTATTCTAGCAGAGAAAACTTTTAATTGAACCAGATATTTAATTCCAAAATAATAGAAAGAATTTGGGAATGACCTTTCAAAGCCAACCAACCCCGCAGATATTATCTGTTTTTTGAATCAGTTTTGGAGACACAACCATGTCTCTACTTCCTCCTAAACCAGCACAGGGCACTTTTTTTTTTCTGTTTTCCTCTTCTCTACAGAGTAAATAAAAAGTTTCTTAGATCACTCTTAATTGTAATGGTGTTTAACAAAAATAATTCTTTCCTTGTTTCAACATCACCTAAGGATAATACCAATGGTGCTTTTTCAAAAGGCAACTGAACTTTCTTGTTTTTTTTTCCCTTGAAAACATTTCACTTCCCATCCAAAAAGCTTCTTTGGTTCTAACTTGCATGGTGGAGTATAGAATAATTTAGATTCTTTGCAGTCATCTGGTTGTCCCAAGAGCGTTTCAGACCCATTTGTATTCTGATTCAAGTGACTTAAAGATACAGATATGCGGCTTTGCTCCGCATTAGGAGAGCTTCTCATTGAGTCCAATGAATCAAGAAAGAGACCAAGCCGGTTCAGTCTTGGGTGAGCAGCCCCGAACACGCGCTCAGGGAAGCTCTTTTATTGAACACACATTGTTAAACGTCACAAAAGAGAAAGTTCAGTCTACTTTACATGTTAAAAGAGTGGTGGGGTCTCAGTGGATACATTGTAGCACTCAAGCACAGTGCTTAAGGGATACAAAGTAATCAATCCGCGCCTGCAGTCCAGCCAGTAGCCCAAGGTGGGCAGCATCCTTTTGTTCCTGATACCTGCTTTCAGCCTACGTGAGGTCTTGCAGGTATTGAAACTCCTTTGCCTACGTGAGGCTTGGCATATATCAAAACTCCTTTGCCTACGTGAGGCTTGGCATATGCCCAGGCTGTTAGATGTGGATTTGCTGCTGCACAGATAAACCCCCTAAGTGGCCTCAGTGACCCTCATTGTGCTAACAATGAGATGACTGCAAAGAATATAAATCCCCACCATTCAGTTAAAACTGAAGAAGCTTTCTGGATGAAAAATGAAATATTTTCAAGCAAAAAAAGGAACCAAGAAGTCCAGCAGACTTTTAGAAAAAGACCTTTGAGACAACCATGACTTGGATGGTTGAGAATCTCCATAGATATCACCTAAGGGTAGCCTCCAAGTATGTTATTTCTGGTAGGCTTTGTCATCCATGACCTTGGTGAAAAAAACTACCAACAGAATAGTATATTTATTCACTTTTTCAGAATAATCCCAAACAGGATCAATCATGGATCTTTAGCAATTAAAAAAATCTAAATTTTTCTTTGCATAAAAATCTATATAAGTGAAGTACAAGGAAGGAAAAACATTTGGAAGGACTTGAACACATGGTGCCTAGGATTTAAGAAGTAGTAAGAGCTCATGAAAATTATTACTCGCTAGTAGCTTAATCCTCCATGAAGGTGTTTATCATCATCATCTTTTAATGACCCCATAATCCCTTGTGTGGAGTCTGGGCAACTGAATGGAGCTAGGAAAGCGTTTAAAGGCCGGATGCCCTTCCTGTCACCAAGGCGGAGTTTTATTCAGCAGATATATTCTTATTGTGCCCAGAGAGAGAAATATCTGCCTCTACCTAGGATCGAACTCATAGTCTTCTGATTGTAAGGTGAGAGCTCCATCTCTAAGCCATCACACCACTCAACTCCATAATTGTGTCGATAACTGTTCTAAAACTTGGCTGCTCTTACAATAACTGTTCAAAAATGTCCAGATATCTAACAAGGAGAGCATCATGAGATTTTTCTATTAGGCTATGCTCAACCTACTTGGTATATAAATATGCTGCCTATCTCTCTGGTATTCTATCTATAGTATATCCCACCTCTGCATATTGTAAACACAGACACACATTTATCAGCATGGTAGCAAATAACGCTTTCATTTTACCACTATATCCCTAATGAAGCTCACATAATGATTTGCTGTGTGGCGGTCATGCTCAACTCTTATATCTTCCACCTTCCTCTTTTCTGTATTGATCAGCAACGAGCTGAGAGCCGGCCTGAAGCAGAACAGGAATGCAAGAATACATTCCCTTAATTGGCAACTAACAATGGGGATTTCCTATTACCTCTCAGGAACACAGGATGTATTATAAAACACGGATGGCAATTGTGTAGAGGGAAGAGGAAAATGAACTGTTTCTACTGGAAACCTGGCAGTCTAAAGCGATAACTCCTTTGCAAAGCTCTTTCCATAAAATTTAGATTGCTGTATTAAGGGAAGCAACAAGTAATTATTAATGTCTGTGGAGAGTCTTGGTTATCCAGATCATGATTGTCCCAAAATGCTTTGTCAAAGGACAACCAAACTTCATTTTTCCTTGAAAACATTTCACTTCTCATCCAAAAAGCTTCTTCAGTTCTAACTGAATGGTGGAAAATGGAAATATTTATATTCCTCTGGTTGTTAGCTAGAGGAGGCAACTTGGCAATTTATCTGTCCCCCACTCTCAACAGAGGGGAAGGAACATGATACCTGTTTACAACACAGGTTTTTTTAGCGGTTCCAAGAAAGTTCCACACCTATTTGCACTATTCAGGTGACCCTGAGGGCACAGATAAACCTCCAGGTGGCCTCAGTGACTCTCAGAAAGTGTCCAAACAACCAGGAACATAAATCCTTTCACCCTCCGTCATTCGGTCAGAACTGAAGAAGCTTCTTGGGTGAGAAGCGAAATGTCCTCAAGGAAAAGCAAAGTCCAATTGACTTTTGAAGAAGGATCTTTGGGACAAGAGATTTTTAAAATAATTTTCTAAGCTCAAAGCAAGAAAGCGGGGTAAGATTGGTAGCCTTTTCTCTGCTGATCAGCAGAGAACTCTTCTAGGAAGGAGAGGTTTTTAGATGGAAGCCTCTAAAAACAAGAATGATTACTCACCCGTAGACCTGGTAGGCCTGGAGGTCCTATCTTGCCTTCTGGCCCAGGTGATCCCTGAAAACAAGATATTTTTCCTTTACATTGCATATAGGGCCATTGACATTAAATGGTTTCTATTTGGGGGGGATGTCATAGAAAAAAAAATAGCTATTCCCTATACTAGGAACCAAAATAGTGGAGACCTGAAACAAACCCCCTCAAATAGTGATAGCCAACCTGAGAATTCTGCTAATAGAGTGACAAAGATCTACATAGGAGATAGAATAGTTGCATGGACAATGAATTTAGTTCATTTTATTTATTAGGTTTGTATGCTGCCCGTATCATTTAGAGGTAGCTTACAAACATTAAAACCTGGTAAATGTTATAACAATAATAATAATTTACACTTAAAAGATGGAAAGGGAGCAAGAAACACACAAAGGTGTTGAGGTCTTCTCTTAATCCGATAGGCGCCGCCAGGATGGCGGTTCCCAATTGGAACTCCAGGCCGACTATGTAATGAAATTATGCAGACAAGAAATGCAATACCATGATCACTGAAATATGCACCTACCTTCTTTCAAGTTATATTATTGATCTGATAAACCAGTATTGTGTATTGTGTAACGATTCTCCTATATAAGGGCTGTCAAATTTCTGGCCACACCAACGCCCAGTTTAGTGAAGGGGGAAACAGCCCTGATATGTCATGTGATGCCGCCGTGACGACATGAGTTTGACACCCCTGTTCTACATCTTTAACAGAAGTATTTCTCGAACCGGGTTCCTCAAATCACCACTGCATTATTTCCTGGTTTCAAAATGAAATATAGTCTAGTTTCAGATGAAGTTTAATGCATTCTATTTTTGTATACTATAGTGTAGGAGATGACCAGTCTGAGCCTGAGGGAAGAGTCAAGTATGCCATCAGTCTGGAGTCCTCTCATGCCCACAAAAGATCTAGGTCCAGGCCTCTCTTGAATTCCATTGACTCTTACCTACCACCAGTTTGCCTTGACTATTAGTAGTTTAGATTCTTGTGGAGAGCTAGCATTGAATAAACTTTCACTCATCTGAACAACCTCGGTTCCTGACTACTCGCACTTGACAAGTAGGTCATTCAGATTACAAATAATTCATTCAGAAATAAAATTACTTACTGGGGGACCCGGAGTTCCTGGAGGCCCCATCGGACCCCTTGGTCCAGGAGCTCCCTATAAACAAATTTCAAAGTTAAAATAGATGCTGTGAAGTTTTGCTTTGCATTCAAAAAAAGTTTTGCGAGCACACAATAAATGCAAACTAAAGGTAAACCACACCAAACTAGAATACAGGAAATATGACTTCAGCAACAGAGTGGTCAATGCCTGGAATACACTACCTGACTATGTGGTTCCTTCCCCAAGCCCCAAAAACTTTAACTTTAGACTGTCAACAGTTGACCTCATCCCATTCCTAAGAGGTCTGTAAGGGGTGTGCATAAGCACACCAATGTGCCTACTGTCCCTGTCCTAATGTTCCCTTTTATTCTTACCCATTTCATGTATTAATAATCATGTTTATACTTATATCTGTTATCTAATAGCAGATATAAGTGTAAACAGGATTATTAATACATTGACAAAATAAACAATAAAATAAATAAAAACCAAACTCTCCTGATAGGGTCTGAGATTTATAATATTCACTTTTCATCATTCTCCAAGTGGAAGAATCTTTCTTTTTTTTTTTTTACACCTCAAGTCTATAACAAGTTAAAACAACAAAAATAACATTGAAGTGTAGCATAATATTATCTGAGATGACAGGCATTTTTCTACCAGGTTTTTTAGTAAATTGACCAGATTGATCTAAAGTGCACAAGAATGAATCATCAAGGCATTTCTTTCAGATACTTGGTTGTCTTTTTTCACATGTTCATTTTTACATCTATTAAGAGTTAATTGTTTTCTGGCAATTGTCATCTTTTGAGGGATAATGTTGGACAGATTAGTGGACGTAAAATATTCTTTTCCCCCCAAACTTTAACCTATTATTCTAATTCAACCTATTTTATAATACATGCATTCTTAAGATAGATTAATGTAGGTGAATTCATCATTTGATGAATGCTGTGCATTATTTCATTTTCTTTTAAAAAGAGTTTGAGGTCTCCAAATAGATTAGCTTATTTTGCTCAAAGAAGCATGCACATCTCTTTATTGTTTTCTCCACAACTGCAAACCTGTGAGACTGAGGCCACTGAGAAATGGCCAAGAAGTGGCCACTTGGTTTCTTTGGCTGGAGGTGGGTTTAAATATAAGCTTTTCTGTTGTAAATTCAATTTACCTTAACTAATACACCGCACAATGTATTTCTGTATAATAATTCCCAGAGTGCAACTTTTAGGGTTAAAACTATAACTGTTTTAGGTATGCATGTATATAGGTGAGAATGTGTGTGCACAAGAAGTATGTGAAGGGTGTCACTGTTCCAACTAGTAAACTCCAACCCAATAAACTCTGAGAGTAGCATTTTCTCAAAGTTCTATTTTATTAAAGTTGTCATATTGGCACATCTGGGAAAACCCAAATCTGAAGAGTTCCAGATTTTCATCAAGTAATCAAAAATCAAGAATCCTTCCCCTGCACCCATCAGTCCATCACATGGTCCAATCACCAGTCATCCCAACTGGAGACATTCCTCCAACCACTTCTTTCCAGGTGCAGGATCACATGTCTTTGATTCAGAAGAAGGATGTTATTATGTCTAAACTTCCCCCGCTCTATGAAATCCCCCCTCCCAAATTCCCAAGCACTAAAATGTAACAGCGTGGAATCTTCTAAGTAAAATATGGCTTCCAAAGCTGACAGAGGGACTAATTTAAAATCTGAACAAAATAAAACCCATCATAGCCTAAATTTCACTTAAGTATACTATCTGCTGTTCCTCCATCTTGTCCTAATGAAAAAATAAAGAACAATTAATTTTGGATAAATTGGATTCCGTGGGTGGATGAGTGTAACCTTGAAATAAATACTATTAGCAGGAAAATAGTTGTCCATCCAGAGTCTTCCAGTGGGACGGAAAATCAAGATGGTGGCCATGACTATATAATCTGGCATTTGACACATATAAAAGTGGCTGGGGTCTTATCCCATGGTCACAGCAGACTTCTTGACTATATTTTGATACCACCTGCAGAAACCCCTTTTATTAGATGCTGTTGGGTTTTTTAATAGTGTAAAGGTAAGCAGCACCCAGCTTTTAAGCAGGGTTCTGTATTTTTTGTCATGATTTTCCATGATTTAAAAATTTAAAAATAAAAATATCATTTTTGAATGCAGAGAGAATGAATTTAAATAACTGTCATGCCCCTGTTGGAGTCTGAATCCGAGGAGGAAGATGAACAGCTGACAGGGAGTGGGAGTGTGGCTCCATTGAGGAGGAAACTGGGGATGGGCAAAGTCTGGCTGGGCAGAGCAGGGAAGAGGTAGAACAAGGGAGAGGGAGTTCAGAGGAAGACCCAGGCCCACCCCCTCTTCATCGTAGGGCATGCAGGGAGGTATAGAGGAGAGAGCAACGTGGGTTACGTGGCTTATGGGGGAGGAAAGGGCCCTGATTCCCTCCATTAGCCACAGCTGGGAAGAGAGTTTAAAAGAAATGCATGCTGAGTGTGGCAGCTGCTGGGAGCAAACATAAGTTTATCTTGTGTTGACTTTGCTTATCTGTGTTCCTGGTGTCTTCTCAAACATGTTGAGTTATTGCCATGCCTTCATGTCTGGAATTCTTGCTTTGATCCTGTTAGACTAATTACCTCATTTTGCCTTGATTGGACTTATAGTTACAGTTTTTGTTGACCACATTATGGATTTGGTTCTATGCAGCCAAAGGCTGTTCCTGGGAGAGTTTTTCTCCAGCCAGAAGGTAACCAGGGCACTGGGGGCAAAGTTGGAGCTAATGAAGGGACTCCTACTGATTATCTGACTGTGTTGCTTTTGTGCCACACCCTGGGTCATCATAGTAACCTTCAGAATATTACACCTGAACATGCAGTGGTGCAATTCAACTGGTGTAGCAACAGGTTTGGTGATCACATGCTTCACACAAACATGAGCACACCAAACGTGCATTTTGCACACATGCCCACCCTTTTAAAAAGCCCATTTTCAGCTATAATACTTAGCTTTTACTGCAGCCCCAGTGAGTAAAACAGCTGAGGCATGGCAAAACTGTTCTGCCACACAAATCAGCTGTGCTCCAAAATAAGAAAATAAAACACAGCAAAGAGCAGGGGAGAATGAGCAGGGCCAAATGATTGCCAGAAATATCGGTTTGCCAGAACCACTCCAAACTGGTAGAATCCCACCCCTGTGTACATGTATCATCTGCACTAAAACATTTAGGAACACTTACTTGCTCTCCTTTCAAGCCTTCAATCTGTACCTGAAACAAAAAAGATTATCCATAAAAAAAGGAGGAAAAATCTGATTTTGGGGGGCGGGGTAGCAAAGAGATATATAAGGACTATATTTAAGGTCCATATATGAGGATACTGGTTTTTTTGGAGGGGAGTGAATGGAGGGAAGAGAGTGAAAGTCATTTATAGCACACAAATGTACACCACACATATTAGTGAAACACTGATGATTCAGTGTCTCAACAATTGTGTGAAAAATCCCTTGGAAATTACATTTGAGAAACTATTCCTATCTGGTTTGGAACCAGCAATAATGACCAGGGGTGGGATTCTACAGGTTCGCACCTATTCGCTAGAACCGGTTGTTGACATTCTAAGCAGTTCAGAGAACCGGTTGTTAGAAGAAATTCCTGGCCTAATCCCGTAAGGAAGGCAGGAAGGAAACATTCTGGTGTTGCTTACAGAAACTGCCTCTCCACTAACCCTTATTACATTCTTGGCAGGACTAGACTTCCTATCTTAGGAACGTCTCTGGAGTTTTTTTTCCCCTCCTTTGCTGGTACTTTGCTTGTGTGGAGCAACCATTCAAAGTTACAAAGGCACTGAAAAAGTGACTTATGACCATTTTTCACACTTAGGACTGTTGCAGCATCTCTACAGTCATAAGAGGCCAGGCGAGGAGATGCATGACTCGATGTGAGTGATGTTGAGTTGGCCACAACCAGCCAGCCAGTCACATGACCACCAAGCCATGACCACCACCTAAGCCACACCCACAGAACTGGTTGTTAAAAATTTGAATCCCACCCTTGATAATGACCCCTGTGAGTAGCAAAGCTAAACTTACATACTATACATTGGAGTCAGTTATACCAAACTGAAATAGAAGCAGCTGATTTACTATGACACAACTCTGAGTCAGCTACACTATTTTATAAAACTACAGATTGGCCTGCATTGGAAATCTTCATAAATGATGCAATCCAATTTAAAAGCTGGTGAGGGGTTAATTTATCAAATCTGTTTCAGTTACCTGACCCCCCCCCCCCCCCAAATGATAATGACTATGAAAAATGAGACCATTTTGTTTTGAATAGCTACATGAAATGATCCCTTCACCCTGTGGCACGTTATACCTACTGAAATAACAATATCAAGTATTAGGTTTTAATAGAATTTGTAGGACAACTTCAGAACCCACTGAAAAATGGCTAACATCAATAGTGAATGCATGGTAACAACAGTTAGAGTAGTTCAAAATGTGATCCAACATATATTTTCAAAAGTGACAGATGCCACATGTACAATCTAATCTTTGTTACCATTAATGATATATTAAGGCTGTTTCATATGCATGTGTACCACATAATTGATTTCCCTGTCAGTTTGCAACCTATTTCAGGATTGCAAACTTAATCATAATTGTGATTAATGATCCTTAATCATAAGGATCATGTGTCGGGAATTGGCTTTCACTTCATTATACACACATTATTAGCACAAGCTCTACTCAACATTTCTTCCTCTTGATCCCCAAATTGCAAAGCACAAAAATCAGTTGGACACATTCCATTTTTTAAGCATGAATCCATAGACAGGGATATGGCTTCCTTTTGTCAAAGGTAGGAGATATTCACCAGATTTATAAATCCCCAATCCCACATCAATTCCACAGCAGTCATTTTTCACCATCCCATGCCAAAGGTGCATATAAAATAAATCTTACTGCTGAGCCTGGTTTACCAGGGGGACCGATATCACCCTATAATTGGAAACAAATTAGAGAGAAATAATTAGGTGGATGACCTGTAAGAGGCTCCTACAGATTGGTTAGCTGATTTATATCAATGTTTGTCAACCTCAGCAACTATAAGATGTGAGAACATCAATTGTTAGAATTCCTCAGCCAACATGACTCTGAGAATGAAGTTGTCATCTCTTAAAGTTATCAGTGTTGAGAAACACTCCTTTACATAAAAATTGGCTGGGAAAAAAACTGAAAAAGAGGTGAGCAACCCCCTTCCTAGACTTTCCTAAACACCCCCACACACACACCTCAAACAGTGATTTGTGTCTACATCCACCTCCATATGAGGACTACAGCCAAGAAATTAAAAGACACTTGCTCCTGGGGAGGAAAGCTATGGCAAATCGAGGCAGCATACTAAAAACCATAGCCATGTCTATATGCACCTGCCAACAAAAGTGCATATAGACATGGCTATGGTTTTCCCAGTTGCAATGTATGGCTGTGAAAGTTGGACCAAAAGGAAGGCTGAGCGCCAAAGAATTGAGGCCTTCAGACTATGGTGCTGGAGAAGACTCCTGCAAGTCCCTGGGACTGCAAGGCGATCCAACCGATCAGTCCTAGAGGAGATCAACCCTGACTGCTCTTTAGAAGGCTAGATCCTGAAGATGAAACTCAAAGACTTTGGTCACCTGATGAGAAGGAAGGGCTCCCTGGAGAAGAGCCCAATGCTGGGAACGATTGAGGGCTAAAGAAGAAGGGGACGGCAGAGAATGAGGTGACTGAATGGAGTCACTGAAGCGGTCGGTGTGAGCTTAAATGGACTCCAGAAGATGGTAGAGGACAGGAAGGCCTGGAGGAATGTTGTCGATGGGGTCATCATGGGTCGGACATGACTTCACAACTAACAACAACAACACTCCACAGATTTATCCCACTACAAGATTGGAGAACCCCTGCTAATTTCAGTGGGGAATAAACAAAAAATGTGCAAAAAAGAGGAAAATCCTACAACAGTTACTTAATCCCTTCAAATTTCAGCCACTATGATCCGGCCACTAAAATGTGATTACTTTATTGGCAGCATAATGAAAATGATTTAAATAATGTGGAAGAATAAGAAACTCTTACTAAGTAGGTTTTGTTCTTGATAAATGAAAATGAATGAATCAACTGATTGAACAAATAAATGAATATATGCGTGTGATAAATGCCTATAGACAGATACATGCAGTATTTGTATACAGATTATAAAAATAATGTAGAAAAGGTTTGGAGGGACTGCAAGCATAGGACTTGTTTAAAGCAGAAACATCTACAATATTTTCAAGCCTGAAAACAGAAAATTTTCAGGCATTACACTGAAAAAGATGCAACTGTTTTAAGAGGTCATCTACTTAAACTAGCTGTATCTTTAATGCATTTTTTTAAAAGAGATGCATCTGCTTTTAAGCTTACTATCTCCTACATTCCAATTACTTTAAGAATAATTTTAAAAACATGAGTACACATACACCAATCCTTTATATAATCCTCATTTTACCTTCGCTCCTTGTAGTCCTGCGGGTCCAGGTTGACCTGGACTTCCTTTGGCACCCTGAAATAAAAATAACCAGATGTCAAAAGGTGTTCAAGATAGTAATGAGTTTTAAAATAAAGACAAGAATCTGAAGAGAGAAACATTGGGTCTTCTTAAGAGGTCCAGAAAAGTGAACTTATAGTAGAACTTCATGTAATATCCTCAAGATCAACGGTCCAACTGATGGATCCAACAAAAGTAGACAATTTAAGGAACCTTAAAACCCTAAAAACAAACTTTATTGAGTACATCGTTTCGGCACTGATGAATGCAAAACGAGCTCTAACTTTTCCCGCACAATCCCACATAGTTAAAAAAATAGATGTCTCTCCTGTTCTCCATGGAATGGGTCACATTAACCCAGGAGTGTCAAACTCGTGGCCTGCAAGGTAGATGCATCATGAGCTGGCCACGCCCACCCCCAGTTTAGTGAAGGGGGAAAAAGTCACAATACGTCATGTGATGACAATATGATGCCATCGTGTTTAACACCCCTGCATTAACCAATTGCGAATCATTCTTTTGTTTTGAGAACAGTCCATAGCTTGGCTGACACCTGAAGAAGGGCCTTTTCTGTGGTGGCTCCCTCTCTGGAACATCATTCTCCAAGAAATTAGAATGGCCCCCTGTCTAATAATCTTCCAGAAGGCACTGAAGACTTGGTTCTGCCAGCAGACCTGGAGAACCCAGAGCAGGATGGGGCCCATTAACTGGCTCATGTGAGGTGTTGTCATTGGGGCAGGGAGTGGAGTTGGGGGGTGATTTTTTATTTATTTGTTTTTCCAGATTTTGTTCTATTGTACTTTATTAATTTATTTGATTCTTTTTGTTAGTTTTTATTGTTTTTTAAATTTTATTTTATTTTAAATATGGTTTTACACTCTGTAAGTCAGCTCAAGTCTCCATGGGCAAATAGGAAGCAATATAAATTCAATAAATAAACAAATAAGTGTCTTTGATGGTTACTTAGTTCTCGCGGTTGATGTCTGGAACTTCTGCATTCCACATGGCACTCACTCAATATCCCAATTTCAAATCAAAGTTGTGTTGTACTGTAAAATTACCTCTAACATTAAAAAAAAAAGATTGTTATTTTCTATGAAAGAAAGAACTTGCCTGCTTTAAAGGTGAGTAATATGTGGGGGAAGGTTTTGGTGGAACAAGTTTGTCTTAACAGCAGGGAGATTTGTGTTCTTTTAAGTTGTTTTTGGAACATACAGGCAAATAAATCAAAGCTATACAGCTCACCTTTGAAACTCTATTGTACTGAGACAACTAATTCATCAAGCTTAGACTGGTAAACATACCTGACTTTCCACCCAATTAACAATATAAGAACTGTGTTGATCCAACTAATCAATCATTCTATATTCCTTAGTGACCAACTGGCTCTTTCAGTAAACTCCCAAGCATGAAACATTAATGCTAGAAACATAAAAGCTATAATAATACAAAGAAATAGTTATGGAAAATCATCCTGGTAAAACGATTTCCATGAGATCACAAAGAGTCAGAAATATGTATACTTCTGTTTTGTTCTGGATACAGATTATATAATAGCAGAGTTGGAAGGGACCCTGGACCTCAAGTAGGAGATTCTATATCATTCCAGACAAATGGCTATCTAGTCTCTTCTTGAAAACCTCCAGTGATGGAGCATCCAGAACTTCTAAAGTTAAGCTGTTCCACTGATTAATTGTTTTCACTAACAGGAAATTTATCCTCAATTGCTTTTTCCCTCAGGTGCTTTGGATAATAGTTAACCTCCTCTTCTCTGTGACAGGCCTTCAAATATTGGAAGACTGCTTTGATATCATGCTACTCCTTATCTTTGTAGAAAAAAGCACAAGCTTATCTGGCCTGTTTTGATTACTGGACCTTGGATCCAAATGATTTATTTGTCCCCATAGAGGACATAGCCAACATGCTTGTTCTGCAGGATAGTCTCATGTAGAATAGTCTAAAAAATGTTTTCTGAATCTCATTGGAAAGCATGAGGTATGATAAAAAGAGAGAAAACCATTTCTCCAGTCAGCAGAGCTCATTAACTAAAATAAACAGATGTGTTCTTTTGAACTGTGAGATGGAAGACCTGAAATGAATCAGGTTGTTCATGTGAACTATTTTGTATAGTCCATAATGCCACCGTTGCACCATCAGGCCACTGGAGGATTGATCATTTTAAATATAAAGGATGTGTGGTAGAATTTGCTGTTAGGTTTATGCAAAGCATTGCAAAAGCTTATTACCCGTCCTAGGTCTTTGTATTTCATATGCACAATTTGTTCTAAAAAGGATTCTATTTTTTTTTAAACTTAAAAATTAACTACATACCTGTTTTCCATCCAAGCCAGACTTCCCAGGAAAACCATCAAGGCCACGTTCTCCCTGAGCAAACAAACATAAAAGCTCTGTTGGAGATTTCATTCCATGAAGTAGTTTTGGAAAAGTTGCATTTATCATGAACACATTTCCCTGGGATTAGAAATGGAAGTAGACTGATCTGAACTCCTAGCTTAAGTGTCAGTAACCTTAAGCATTCAAAGAGCCACACTGGAAGCCCCCTGTTCAATTCTGGAGCCGGATCGGAAGTCCGGTTCCCCCACCATAGAGTCTCCTCCTAGCACGGTGTCCTTTTTCCTCTACCTGTCCTAACCAAAAGCCCTATCAATTGTGGAGCCAACCAGCGACAGGGAGCTGCAGCAGAGGGATGAAAGAGCCACATGCGGCTCCAGAGCCAAAGGTTGCTAACCCCTGTCCTAGCTTTTTTAAAAAAAGCATTTATTGTTTGATTTCCAGCATTGATTCTGAACTCCAACCTGCACTGAATTGCGTTCCTGGTTTTGACTGTTTTCTTCTCTTTTGGCCAGCAGGACACCCAATTACCAGCCTACCTTTGGACAATATTTTATATCTCCAGTCTATTCCCTATATAGTGTTTCTAAAATTAAATCCAGAATTTCCTAAGCTTGTTTGCTTCATTGCTGACGAGTGGTGCGGTGGCCCAGAGGTGGAGCTCTCGCCTCACAATCAGGAGACTGTGAGTTTGATCCTAGGCAGAGGCAGATATTTCTCTCTCTGGGCACACTGAGAATGCTGAACAAAACTCCTCATTGGTGACAGGAAGGGCATCTGGCCATTAAAACACTCTGCTAGCTCCGTTCAGTTTCCCAGACTCCACCCCGCAAGGGATTATGGGGTCATTAAATGAAGATGATGTTTGCTTCAGTGCTAAGATTGAGAACATCTAAAAGGCAGTGGATTAATTCTTCAATAAATTTGATACATTCAAATAATGAATTCATATCTTTATGCAGACCATGTTTGGTCAATGACAAGGGTGAATTACATGTATGCAGCCTGCATAGAATATATTATATTATATCTAAAATGATCTAACTCAAGTGGACTTCCTGTTGTGGTTAGTCGGCAACAGGTGTGGACAGCTGAGGAGAACGAAGACTCAGATGAGGGACCAGGACCATTAGGGAATGGACTGCTGCCTTCAGAGATTGTGGGGGCTGGCAGCAGCGATGAGGAGGTTCCTGAGGAGACTGTGCCAAGTGTGCATGCACGCAGGGCTGCTCACAGGAAAGAGCAGCTGCAGCAGCATGGGCGACTCGGGAGTAAGGCTGCAAGGTAATGGCCTCTCCTTCAAGAAGATAAAAGCCAGCTGTGACTCAGACGTTCTTTGTAGGAAACAAAGATGTTTTGAAACTCGAGCCTCATGGACATTGCAGCATTTTAAGTTGGTATTTGAAGACTCTTGTGTTGTAAAATATCTCTAGGTAACCTTATCTGTTATTCTTGGCAGCCTCGCACAGTTTTGGTGAGGTTTGTGCTGATCAAAGTTAATTAGTTTGCAGCAGCCTTTTAACCGGGGATTCGTAAAAATCATTAAAAGGTTTCTGTTCCCTTTGATTCATGTTTATTTTATTGGAAAAGGGTTTGGGTTAGAACACTTCCAGGGAAATGTATTGTCCTAAGTATAGCATATTTAACATGGAATGTTTGTCAAGAGCCAAGTCTGTTCCAAACTTGTACTCATATTCATGTCTTATTATTTGACCAATTATTTGTACCTTGTCTCCACGGGGTCCTTTTTCTCCTCTTTCCCCTTGCAAACCCTAAAAAAAGAAAGAAAAAGAAAGAAAGTAGGAAATCACAGGAATCATATTGACACCGATACCTCTGAGGATAACCAGATGAGCTATTGGTGGGCTAGGAATGTTCACAGAGTGGCGTAATAAATGTTGAGTACTGTTGAAGAAAGAAGATATATTAGACTCTATTATTGTTGAAGTGCACTTGAGTTGTCTTCTTGCAGATGTTTCAAAAACCAAACTAGGTATCATCAGTGCAAAAAGCTCAGAGAGTAGCAAGGATAAAAATAAAATAAAAAATAAAACTATAGAACATTTTTTAAAATGTCTATGCTAATTGGTCTTGGAGCATTGATCAACAAACTCAATATTTTGACTTTAAGCTATATTAAAAAAATTAAACAGTAAACTGTTTTGCAACCAGATAAAGGAAGCTAATGAAAACTAATTGACCTTCTCCAACAAAAGACATGATCTCATCTGATGAACAGTGACATTATTCCACAAGTAGAAGCTGTCATTATAAAGGAAAAAAAGATGTATAATCCATGTGATGAGAACCCATGGAATTTGAGTGATATTATTGATCTATATGAGCTTTGTTGAGGTCAATATATGTACACTTGCAAAATGAACCAACTCTGTGAACTTAATTGTATACAGCAGCTCACCAGATGGATAAATCTATGTGCACAAATTCCTCAGAGTCCAAGACTAAAAAAGTAAATTTATTCCTCATTAAACAAAAATTACTGTTACACAATGTGTCTAGAATATGATGAACGAATGGGGAAGAAAGGGTAGGTCTACAAGGAATATTTACATGTGGCATATGTAATTACTTATCCTTTTCTATTTTGCTCATTTGGGTTATGCAAATACTCAAACTGGCTCAGACATCTGAAAATTTAATGCAGACTTAAAAGTTCTAAAGACAGTAAAAGAAGGTGTAGTTGTCATGCCCCTATCAGAATCTGACTCGGCGGAGGAAGCTGACAGGGAGTGGGAGTGTGGCTCCATTGGCTGTGGAAGAAACTGGGGAAAAGCACAGTCCAACTGGGCAAAGCAGGGAAGAGGTAGAGCAAGGGAGAGGGAATTCAGACGAAGACCCAGGCCCAACCCCTCTTCATCCTAGGGAACGCAGGGAGGAACAGAGAAGGGAGCAATGTGAGTTGCATGGCTTATGGGGGAGGAAAGGGCCCTGATTCCCTTCCTTAGCTGCAGCTGGGAACACAGTGTATAAAAGAGGAAGCTGTGCACAGCAAGTTGTTGGGAGCAAACATGAATTTATCTGGTATCATCATGGCTTATCTATGTTCCTGGCATCTTCCCAACTGTGTGAGTTTTGCCGTGCTTTCAAGTCTGAAATTCCTCCTCCTGCCCTGTCAAGTTAATTACTTCAGCTTGGTTTGTTTGGATTTTTAGTTACAGTTTGTATGTACCTTGTTTTGGACTGAATTTTCTACAGTTAAAGACTGTTCCTGGGAGAGTTTTTCTCCAGCTGAAAGTAACCTGGACATTGGGGGCAAAGTTGGAGATAATAAAGGGACTCTTATTGTTTATTTGACTGTGTTGCTTTTGTGCCATGCCCTCGGTCATCACAGTAGTAGACAAATTCATGTGTCTACTGTACATATTGATCAGCCTATACAAATTCATTCTATCAATATGTTACCTGCAGATTGCAAAATTGGTTGGCTCAAACACAAATTCCTAAGGAACTATTATGTCCATAGTTGACCTTCTCAGAAGCATGACTCGTATTGTGAAATTAAATGGTCTTCTGAGTAAATCTGTTCTGCCTTTGTTTGATTCCAAACTTCATAGGATATTAAAGGAGCTTCTTCATCTTCTCTGGGATTGGATTATCAGAAAACATATCATGGGAATTGAATCAGAAGGGCTGCATAGCTCTACCTTTGACCTTATTGAGTGAAATTGTTCTACCTTCCTTAACTTGATAACCTAACCAAATATCTGTGTATATGGAATGCTCAGTTTCTGGTTTGAGAATCAAGTATCTTTGTCAGCGTATAAGAAATTATGAGCTGAAATAGCCATAACAACAAGTCAGCCAATGGAAATGGTTGGTAACTAAGAAACAGCATCTGTTTTGAGCCATGCCAGATGCCTCGGAGCCTGGGTGTGGCTTAGCTCTATATACGTATATAAGAGTTGATGTGCTTCTGTGAATATATAGCTTCTGTGATTATGACTGTTGATTCTGAGTTTTGGTTCTGACTTCTGCTGCATGGGTATGGTATACATGCAACATACTGTATATTATTGTATATAAAGAAGTTTCTTCTATAAATTAATCCTGCTGAATTATTTACTTGTACGCTGGTTGGATTGCTGCAAACTCTAACAATCTTCTTGCCAGACAACTGAATTTTAACAATTATACTGCATTCATTTAGAATATTAAATTAATGATGACAACAAATCCTAACTTACAGGTGCTCCAACATAACCTTGACGTCCTGGGGGACCTGGACGTCCTTCTTCTCCCTGAGCAAAAATGAAAGGAAAATGACGCCTGAGAAGATAATCAAAATTTATGGTAGATTATTTACATGAACAAATGTAAATCCTCTTTAACAGGTAATTCTACAGTATTGTAAACATCTTGTTAGCTTTTCTGAAAAGCAAATTACTTGAGTGTTAAAACCAGGTGGTTATTTTTATGCTTGTGATGAAGCAGTTCTGGGTAAATTGATAAAAAGATGAAAAAACATGGTATTGTCCATATGTTGCACCTGATGATGATCAGCTACTTATTCCATTCACTGGATGAACCCATCATTTCCCATCATAAGCATGTCACACAATGTGCTTATAGATTAACTGGATTAAGCTGACAACAAATTCAGGAGGGGCGGAATGTGTTTGGTTTAACTAAAAGAAAACACTTAACTGAACTTCTCTGAAGTGAGAAGCTTCAGATAATCTAAGAACTATGGCCTAAGAGTGGGTCATAAAAAGTATGCATTTATATATGTGTGTACTGTATGTACATATTCATTCATTCATCCATCCATCCATCCATTAACTCATTCATTCAAACTTATCAGCTGCCCAAATCTAGAGATACATCCAGAGGGATGCTTCAGAAAGATATCCTGGAAGAAAGCAATACTAATGTTTGACAATAACAACATCTACCACATGATATATCCATAAGATCACTAAGGTTTCAACCATATACATATTGGCCAGGAACAGTGGTTTCTGTGTGGCCATTTATATGGAAGGAAAGAATGTGGAAGATATAAATTTAGTGAATCCAAAGAAGTTAAGATATGAAAGATAGAAAGAGTGTTGTGGAAAATTGCTTACATATCTGATTCCCAAATTGGATCTATTGCCCATTTGTGTTATATTTTTTTAAGAATTTCCAAATTAGTTGTCCTTTAAGGTAAATACATTTCCATGTCTTACATTTTCCATCCTAGAGAACAAGGTGAAAGTGTGGTTTTGGTCTGGAGATCATGATAAGTGGCCTATAACTCCCTGAATGAAAACTTGATAAGAAACACAGGATAAAGCTTGTATTGACTTATTTAGATTGCAAAAACATTAAATACTAACTCTGGCAGATACTTTGCTGAAACTGTAAAAAAAAAATACTCCAGAAACTTAAATACAAAGGAGATTACAAATCAAAATTAGTATCGCTATTAATCTTCTATGACTCAAATACATTTTTAGCCAGACAAGCTATTACTTGTATTTTTAAAAATCAAACACAAAATTCTCAGTAGAGTCAAGTATTGGCTTAATAAATGAGCCATCATATTAGTATAAAAGCTGACTAAGAAAGTAAGGGAATAAGGGAAAATATGCTGACAATTTTGTATAGCCGTAGTACTACTTTATTAGAGTGGAAATAAGTAAATATTACTTTGAAGCTATTTGGAAAAATAATAGTAATTAATGGGGAAAAAGGGACTATCGAAAGGGGTGGGTTTCAAATTTTTTAGCAAGGGGCTCTCTGCCCTAAGGACTGGCTGGGTGGGTGCAGCTGGGTGGTCATGTGACTGGGTGGGTGTGGACAACTTGACATCATTTCTTTGCCCTAATTACCTAAAAAAGATATATGCCCAAAAGTTGTTTATTATTTCATGCATTTAATACTTAAATAAAAGACTGGGTGAAACCAGGCTTAATAGCAGTGACTGTGAGAGGGATTTTGGAGTCTTAGTGGAGTTTCTGGTGAGTTACATGATTCTTATTATTTGGGAATTAATCCCCTCGGAGGCCAGTGGCTATGTTATCTGATTTTCTCAATGACTCTCCACCACAAGTGAATTGTTTATCTAGCTTGGAACACTTTTATGAGGTGTGAAATGCTCTTGGCTGAATGCCCAGAAGTTCAATTAAGCCTATTAAGAGCTTTCCCTTGCTGCTTGTCTTTCTGAGGTTATTGAACCTCTGAGAGCCCCCAGCAGCCCACCCCTGCCTCAATACATGCTCTTTACATTCAATATATCATCAAAGATACTAAATTTCCCAGTGAATCAGATTTTTGACAAACTGTTATGTAAGGAATTAGGAGTCTCTCTTGACCAGGAACTGAGTATATTTGAGACCTCTGACATATTTAAACTGGAAACCACCTTCAGTATTAAATCCCAAACAGCTAAACTTTTCTTGAAGGCCCTGTGAATCTTTTTCTTGACATTGTTTAAATATATTCATATACCTTTGGGCCAGATGGTCCAGGAAGACCAGTTACTCCAGGAAGACCAGGTTCTCCCTAAAAGAGAAGGCAAAATAATATTCATTGCAAAGACTTGCTGTGGACACCTTAGGAATCAGAGCATACTGAAAACTCATAAACTGGTTGATCTATGAAACCAAAAGTGATGCTTCTGGTGAGAGAAATGCAAAGTTTTCACACAATTACTCCAAAATTTCTGGAAGAGAGAACTTCACCACTTTTGTTTGTGGAGATTCTCAGTCATCCAGGTATGGTTGTCTCAAAGGTGCTTTTTCAAAAGGCAACTGGACTTCCTTGTTTGTTTGTTTTTTGAAAACATTTTGCTTCTCATCCTTCTTCATTTCTGAAAAACGAAACTAACTTTGTCAGTCTTCATCCTGCCTCCCAAGGTTGTTCTCACATACCATTACATCAAGCCACATCTTGGAATATGGAAGTCTACATCCCAGGGAAAGAGGATTCACTGACTTCATTACTCCAAAGCTTTTTGATACTTTACTGGCTAAGAGCCATGGTTGCACAGTGATTAGAATGCAGTATTGCAGGCTAATTCTGCTGACTGCCAGCAGTTTGATTCTGGCTCAAGGTTGACTCAACCTTCCATCCTTCCGAGTTCAGTAAAAATAGGACCCAGATTGTTGGGGGCAAGATGTTGACTCTTTAAACCACCTAGAGAGGGCTGTAAAACACTGTGAAGCTGTATATAAGTCTAAACGCTATTGATATTGCTAAGATGCTGTGCTTGTCAACTGGAAGGTTGGCAATTTGAGACCCTAGCATCATGCAATGGTGTGGGCTCCCATTACTTGCCACAGCTGCTGCCAACCCAGCAGTTTTAAAGCATGCAAATGTGAATAGATAAATAAACACCACTTTGGTAGGAAGATGTTCCATGCCCCTTGGTGTATAGACATGTTGACCACATGAACATGGAAACATCTTCAGGCAAAGCTGGCTCCCTTGGCTAAGAAACAGAGATAGTGTCTTAGAATTGGACCCTACTGGACAGGGGGAACATTTACCTTTAAAAAATGTACTGTTGCTGAAGAAGATTGTTTGCATACTTGTAGACCCAGAAGTGGATAATTATTGTTTTCAGATCCCTCTGTTTCCACCCATCAAATTTCAGCTGGCAAACTTTTGTTTGCAGAGAAATAAATAGCTGTGTTTTGTTCAACTGTTTTGCTCAACTGCTCCTGTGAAATCTCTAGTTACAACACGGCATTTTAATGGATGACAATTGAAATTCCTCCTCAGAGCTTCACAGAGCAGATAATCTATAAGAAGTCTGTTTGCTCCCTTGGCCCAAAGATAGGATTGTTAAGGTTAATAACCTGATTTTTATTTGTTTTCTTACATTTGGAGCCAACACAATATTAATCTCCTAGACATGTTCCTTTCAATGAAGATTGATCCAAACACCTGGCTTTATGCTGCAAGGGAAAGAGGATTAAAAAGAGAGGAGAAAATAAAACCTTACCATTTCTCCTTTGACTCCATCTCTCCCTGGGATGCCAGCTGCACCAATGGAACCCTAAAATAATATAGATTATGACAGCAAAGTTAATGGGGAATCATGATAATATCTAGAAATAGCATTGGCTAAAAAGCGAGAGAATCTGAATAATAAGGAGGACAAATCTAGCCACATTAATTTGTGATCTCAAAGACGGTATATCCTTCGTTCCAAATTACAGGAATTAAGCAGTGAATTAATTATTTGGTAAATGCTGTTGGAGTAATGTACCGTCATGTTAATTTCCAAACTCAAAAGGGTTCAGGGACTAGTTTATAAATAACCATTTGCAATTTCTTTCTTAATGAAGAGATCTACTAATACACGGGCCTACAGTTTCTTTTTTTTAAAAAAAAAAATGAGGACAAAATCCACCTGAATGTATTCTTCATGCTCCCTGAACTTGGTTGTTTGCTTGCAGACATTTCATTACTCAACTAGGTAGCTTGCCCTGCCAGTTCTCGTAATAGAATAATAGAGTTAGAAGAGACCTTGGAAGTCTTTTAGGCAGTGGTGGGGTTCAATTTTTTTTTTACTACCTGTTCTGTGGCCATGGCTTGGTGGGCATGGCAGGGGAAGGATACTGTAAAATCTCCAGTCAGAGGTGGTGTTTGCCAGTTCTCTGAACTACTCAAAATTTCCACTACCGGTTCTCCAGAACTGGTCAGAACCTGCTGAATACCACCTCTGCTGCTCAAGCAGAAGATTCTATATACCATTTCAGACAAGTGGCTATCCAGTCTCTTCTTAGAAACCTCCAGTGATGAAGCACTCACAACTTCTGAAGCAAGCTTTTTCCCATTGGTTTATTGTTCTCACTGC